CATGAGAATTAAGCTCTCCATGTCGAGTAGTTCATAACCCTTGACTCAAGTTGTTGTACTTGATCTTTGATGGCGTTTGGTTAGAGGAAAATAAATCCTCTTATCCCTTGCTAGACGTATGGTTCAACGTGACCCTGTAACAAAGACCCTCGAGATCCTTGAAATGGTATTTGAAAATGCTATGACATGATGTTATGATGTTATGTACAAAATGAAAAGTAGGCAAGTTTATATACAAATGAACATATACACACAAAGCAGACAAATCCTTAGGTTTAGGCTTGCATGGAGTTTGTAGGTAAGTACCCTCTTGAATTTTAGTTGGATCAACCTGTCCTGGTTAATATTAACCGAGTTCTAAGGATTCTCAATATCACTGATCATCCTCTATTGGGCATTGTTTCAGCTCAAGCAATCTTTTCTTGCGGCCGAAATATCCTGAAAGTCTGATCTCAACGAGTGTAGCATCGAGTATCAACAAATCCTCAGCTGTATACCAAGGTCGGCTATCTCATTACTTTCTAATGGCCAAGTCTGTTCAACTAAGGTTATAAGGTCCGTTAGTGCTTCCCGACACCATACGGCGGCTCCGTATTCTCTTCGTTTCCACACGAAGGATACCGGTACCAACAAAAGTGTCACACCAACACAGCCATCACTTAAACCATATCGGTCTATGACGTACATTCTCCACAATCTTTTGCTGTTTAACTAATAAGTGCCCTCAGATCCGGGTGTAGGATCTTTAATAATACCCAAGCAGAAAACTCTTAAATGTAAAGCAAACAAGTCAAACAAAGAAAAGCAAGTAAAGGTGATCTAACCCTAAGGTAACCCCACTTTTAAGGTCCCCAACAGATTCTCCAGTTGTATGATACAGTGGGATAACTGACTTGGTTGTTTTGCGTTTTATCGCAATTATTGCGGTTTAGCAAGAGTCGCCACCGACTTTTCTTTGATCTAATAAGGAAAGGCTGAAAAGAACAGGAAAGACCTTTAGAGATGTTTTCTTGAGTTCAGGGGGTAGATTATGAAAAGGGAAGGTATTAGCACCCTTTTCATCCATGGTTTTCCATGCGCTCTTAGTTACTTGCTAGATCATTTGCTTTTGTTTGAATGTGCTTGTGGTGTGGGTTTTGAAAATATTTTGAAAATGTATTTGTAATGGTTCTTGTATCTATAAGAACGCGTACAAAGTGTTTGTTTCGAAAATAGTTCAAAGAGGTGTTTGTGTTTTTTGAAAGTGATTTTGAAAATGGTTTTCTTTGTAATGGCTCTCGTTTCTATAAGAACGCGTACATAATGTTGTCTTTTGAAAATATTTCAAATGAGAGTGTTGGTGTAAAAATGTTTTGTTGTGAGCAAGCGAGCAACTAGGAGCGAATCTACCTACTCAAAAGGTCTTAAGTGTTCTTTTCTTCCTCCTTTAGATATTGCTATCTTACCATTGATTTTGGTAAGAAGCCCCATCGTTGGATTTGAAGGGACGGGTATGGGACGTTTATATAGTCATAGAAGGCAACCCATGGAACGTTTTAGCAATGTCATTTTAGGGACTAGATCGTTTACCGAAGGCGACATCGAGGGTCATCGAGGGACTACGATCTTTTATGGAGGGTCTTTTTCTAAAACGCCCATGTTCGAGGGACATGACTAATTTTCGATAGGCGACAAGTGAGATTACTCAAGGATTAAAGGGGAAGCGAAAACAAGCCTGTGTTCAGCATATAGCTAGCCTTCTTCTCTTATCTAATTGTTGCTCCTTCCCCTGTCTACTATTCGTGGAGTTGATCCGTCTCAATCAAACTATCTAAATTAATTAGGAAATTCTTTTGAAACCAATTCAAAAAAAGTGGGATAAGATGGCATGCGTCCTAATACAAAATAGTAGAGGTTTCCTAGGTTTGACACACGCAAATTTAAAAGACGTATAGGAATGTCCATCAATAAACCTTATACGCTTTCTTTAGGCGAGCAATGAGGATACGCGTTACTAAGGCTTTAGGCTTGAACTCTTGGAGTTGCGGGAGTCTGCAGTTTCCCATGCTTGTCTTTGTTAGCGATCGAACCATCTCGAAAGCACTAGGATCCAGATTTGTCTTATTGACCGACTTTGGTCGAGCTACCGCTACATTTCAGGAATGGCCACAACCTACATTACTCGTCTCCCTCTTCTCAAGGAAGTTAGTCTCAGACCATATGTAGTTCTCGGTCCTTTTTATACAGTTCCTGACAGGTGTTGGCTCTTCACTCTAGCCCTGAAGTATTCTACGAGCTCCTTCTGTTTAAGTGGGACCTTGGTCAAGGAGCTTTTCTGGAAGAAAAAAAAGCAAAAACGCATCTTGTGTCGGGTTAAGGGCTTAGTGGAACCCTATTTCTTCACTTGTAGTATAGGGCGTTGCTTGGCATTGGGATTTAGTTAAGCCTATATCCATTTCAGAATAGGATCTTTTATGTAGCCCAACTCTTTCTTTGAATTTAGATAGATCCGGAGGACAGGACCTTGGCCTTCTTGCATAGACTTGGGCTTGCTTTGATGATGGGTAGACTTGTCGTGCTTTTGCCCCCTATTTAATCAGGGGGCTTTCATCGAGGCTGGAATACCAAGATGCGAATCACATGCTTATCAAATTAAAAATTGAATCATTTCAGGGTTTCAGAGATAAGATAGTGAGGCTTTTCCTATACGAAGAATAGGCATTCCCTATAGTACTGGGGCTACTAGGCAATCAGACTTTTCCCACTACCGGGATGACTATTTACTTCCTGACTTAAGGACTTAATGATACTGGGAGGAAGCAAGTCTAGAGAGAAAAAATAAATAAATAAGGTATAGAGAACCCTACATACCTTGCTCAGAGAGAGGCAAAGACAAGTGTTGTTGAGGTGCCAGTTCAACGAAGGGCCCAAGCAGCAACAATAACTTAAATACGGCTGAAGACATATATTTAACCCGGGCCCAGAAAAAATCTGACATTAAGTCCAAAGATCCCTGGTAGGGATGATTGACACGTTGATTTAAGTACCCCTTAAATGAGGTGGTAGGTTCATATGTTTTTGTGAAAGCTCGGCTCCTGTTATTGCTGATGTCCAGTCATCCACATTTTAATTCCTTAGAAAAGAAGGCTAACTGCTTGTTGGCTGGGAGCGAGCGGTAAGTCCATTAGTTCGATGATTCTTCTTCGCATTTATTTAGAAGGTTTGTTCAATAAATCTCCTACACAAACAGTAGGAATTTTATATTCAAACGACCTAAGTTATTGTTTTGTTCATGCTCTAAGGAAGTGACTTGTTCAACCTCTGTTGTTCTTGTTTACGACTCTACTGATATTGATTAATCCGCTGGGATTGGAATGCTTGACTTGCTTTCAAAGCCTTTCCTTTCTAGGCTAACTCTTAACTAATTCCCAACAACGGCTAGCGAATAAACTGTAGGGCTTAAGGCATCGAATGACCTGGGGGTAGGAAACTCAATAGAATAATTAAGTAACCTGACTTGAAGTCTAGGACTTCCTAATTGCTTGATTTATAAGTCTTATTTGTTTTTTAAGACGAGAATGAATCGCTAATGTTGGTTGAGAATTACTCGGGAATTCTTTTATAGTTACTTTGCCAGGTTATAGGGGGCTACTCTTATTTTTTGTCAATCGAGCCGCTTTCCCTCATTCCACTTGTCTAGCCTCTTTGCGAACTTGTATAATCAATGCCACAAAGATAGTCAACTAAATTATTGAAGAAATAAGGAAACGGGCAACAATTTGGCACCAGATATTCGGAGGTATGGAAAGAGCAGCGGTGAGAAGCGGAAAAACCATCAAAAAATGATGATTGTTTGTGAAGGTTTCCATAGAAAGATCCCTTGGTTTTGGCAAACAGATCACAATTATAGGTACCTGAGAGCATACCGATGGAATAAACGAAATACGAACAATTAGCATAATATGGTCATAGATTTAGGTTGTAACTTGATCATGAGAGAATTTGTTGATGTTGCACCCACGAAGTATAGAAAGTACCAAACATTGGGAACTACCCGGGGAAGAGTTAGGAACAGGAACAAGGAGAAGCAAGAACCCCTTAAATAGAGGAATCGATTGTATTTCCTCCTTTGTTCCCCATAGCAACAGGAGATCAAAAAGCACCAAATTTGATGACTTATTAAGGGAAAGACGAAGTAAGAACATGCTATTGAAGACGTTGCAACATATGTCGGGGAGGCCTCAGTTGATTGTGTATAAACAAAATACGAGTCCAAAGACAGGGTAATAAAGGGTTTAGCTAATGGAGATATTAACTCTTTCGGGGACCAGTAACGCGTAAACCATGTCAAACCAAGACCGATCAATATCCGAACGGATTCGAACTTCTCCTAGAATAGTTTTCGGTGCGAAATTAAATTAATACATAGGATATATATTAGTAATTCAAAGGATAAATATTTTTATTTGATAGGATTAAGGTAGCGGTAGTATATTGGAAGAGGAACTAGCTTTGACTTTCGCTATCTTATTTGAAGTGCGAAAGCTCTTTCAAAGAATAGTTGTTAGAGAACAGATAGATCTTACGTAAGCCAAAGGCTATTTAAAGAGCTTCTATTTCACCAATTGCATCTATGCATTCACCAAAAATAACTGGGACCGGGTAGACATGAAGTCAAGTAATAGCCCCCACGACAATTATCATTTCCTTCACCACCAACTACTCGTACTCCCACACCGGTAACACCAGTCAAGAAGGTAAGGTAGATTCTATAGCTGCTGATTCTAGCACACCAGAAACCCTCATAGTAAGAGTGGATAGGCTTACACCGGTTAATTGAAGACTTTACCATTCTTGATGCAGCGGGAACGTTCACTCGCACAAACGTATACTGTCAAAGCTAATTGAAGTGCTAGTCCAGCAACTATAGTTGTCTTTCTATTTGCAATTGAATCACTAAAGTTGGAGGGTGCTATTGACTCAGTCGTAGATGGGATTCATACTAAGGCAAGCTCTTGAAATTAAACCCAAACAATGGGGAAGGGATAAGAGGGAAGACACTCATCTGCAGATTGGAGACCAAGGTTCTTTCCATGAGGCTCGGGTGAGAAGGGTGTGATGAATAGATATTTCCCACCAGCAGCTTCTCCTATCACTTTACTTCTGCAGGCACTGGATCTTAAGGGAAATTCTCGGATCCATATTATATAAGATAAGGATTTCGGGTAGTGAGAGAACCGAGCTGGGTCGAGCAAGTCCTCACTTGAAGAAGTAGACTGGCCTGGCCGGCTTAAAGACAAGTTGAAGTCGAAAATCCTTAGATGACTCTTTCGAGAAGGACTTCTCGAATTCGGAAGTAGAAGTACCTCTATTCCAGTTGCAAATAAATAAAGGAGTAGCCTTTTATTTTGAAAGGCATGCTTTCTATACTAGGTTTCTTGCGTCTATGATCAAACTTGAAACTAGCCCGAGAGGTAGAGCACAACGTAAGGGAGAGAGTGAGGGTGGAACCTGTAATGTACCAACGAGGGAAATTGGAAACAATACCTAAACCTCTCCTCAGATTGTTAAGGAAGTTCCGCTTCTGAACCATCCAACGGCCAACAAAGCCATGATTTCCAAACCCCACCGATGGACCTGCCAGCTTCACAGCAAGCTTATGCTCCAGCAGACCCCTTAGGTAGTGCATCCTCCTCTTCCTCGTGGAGTGGCTCGTGGATAGATAAGTGGTTTTTTCCAAAGGAGGGGTCATCTTCGGACCCAAACCAGGAGGAGCCTCTTGCTATGAATCAACCAACCCAGGTCATGGGGCCGGAAGCTCCTAGTCCTTCATGGTTAAAAGAAAAGATTCTCCAAATCTTCTATATTTTAAAAGGGCGGAGACCTCCTCCATAGTTATAAAGAAACTTTGTTCGGAGGATCTGAAGCTCGAAAGAGCTTCCCCGGGAAAGTAACTCAAAATCCTTAACATTCTAGAAGATATGGTTGAACATAAAGATTAATTTAGGAATTACAAACACCACATAGAGTTAGCTGTGAGAATTTCCGTTTGGGAGAAAGATCAAAGGGACTGTCTGACTTTGTAAACAAACACGTCGAAGAACCTAATGGATCGGGATTGGTATGTTTATTTTTTTTCCGGGACACACTGTGATCGGTGGATTTAGAACTGACTGTTTAACGCTGGTTCGCGAAATGTCGCGGAAGTAAGAGTCGCCACCGTCTTTTATTTTCTCCAACATGGACAGGACAAAAGCACAGCAAAATTCCTTATGAGAACGTTTCTCGGTTCGGGAGGTAGATTTATAGAAAGGGAAGGTGTTAGCACCCTTTCTATCCATGGTTATCCATGGGCTCTTAGATACTTGCTCTTATGTTTTCAAAGTGTTTGCTTTTCAAAATGTGAGTGGGTTTGAAAAAGTTTCGTTTAAAGATTTCTGAATAACTCTTGTATCTGTCCTCAAGAGTGTTTGAAAAATTGTTTTGAAAGCTTTTTGAAAGTGTCAGTGTGAAAAGATTTTTGTTTTGTTTTTTATAGAGCAAGTATCCATGAGTCATCTACCTACCCTAAGGAATTAGGCTGTGTAAAAGTCCCTAAGGTAGTGCCATCCCACCATTGAGAGATAGGTAGCACCACCGTTGGAGGTATTCGGGTCAATTCGAGTGTAGGGACAATGTGGTCACCGAAGCAACAGTTAGGACACCTTAGAAGCTACCCTTATGTCCTTGATCCTTTTTTAATCCGAGGCAACCGTTTTGAGGCAACTATTTCGAGGCAACTGTTTCGAGGCAACTGGATCATGGACATAAGGACTACTAAAACATCCTATACTTGACGACCACGTTTCGAAGGCAACAGGTGAGGCGTACCCTAGAAGTGGTGTGTGTATTTGTGTGTTGTTTTCAGTTTAACAGTTATCTTTGATCATGGCATTGTGAGCTACGCTTGTTTTTAATTAGCATACATTCTTTCATAGAAAGTTAGAATTTAAGAGTGCGGAAAGTTAAAAGACGGGAAAATTAAGGCTACGCTATTACAAGGCGTGGGTCTATACATCGCCAAAATACAAAGACCCGTTTTTGATAAAAGATGCGGAAAGTAAAAAATACGGTAAACCTAATTACTATTACATCCAGAAAGCAGTTACATAATAATCAATAAGAAATGATGTTCGAAAAGATAAATTGAACGTCCGAGGGTTTTGACCCTTTGCTTGAAATTAAATTAAATTAAAGTCTAATTATTATTTAATTAAAGAAAAGGAAATGTTTTTTTATGTTTTTGTATTTAATGAAATAAAGAAAAAGAATTAAAGAAAACCCTAGTTCTAAATTATTTTAAATTATTAGAGAAAAGGTCAAAATTAGGCTAATTAACTAAATTATTTAATTTACATGTTTATTTACAAAAATATTAATAATAATGATGAAAATAATTAATTAAGAAAAAAGATAAAAACGTCAAAACATAATTCTACATATTTTTTATTTATTAAGAAAAAGTGTTAAAATTAAAACCTAAATTAACTAAGTTAATTGTTAGTTATTTATTTACAAAAAATAGGTTAGGAGTGAAATTAGTAAATAATTAAAAATTAAACCCTTTTTTAGTTTCTGATTTTTTTATCATGAAAATTAATTAATGGTGAATTAATAAAAACAATTAAAAACAATTGAAAAGAATTATAATTAGAAAAGAAAATAAAATTTAAAATACAAACAAAGGGGGGTGTCTGGCCCATGTGGAGGTAAACTGAAGTAATTTTGGCCTATTGAAGCATAGAGCTCGTTTGACTTTCCAGATCCTGTATATGCTGGTTGACTAGGGTGCATCCTGGATTTCATTCTGAGGCCATTGGATTGATCTCATGTCCACTTGGCAGGCCTAAGCATGAGCGTGTATGGTGAACCATTGAATGAGCGCTGCATGGAAACACGTTAGGATAAAAATTATGAAATATGTGGGGGGACCTGGGAATCGAACCCAGGTCCCAGCACTCACCAAGCCACGTCCCTTGCCAATTGAGCTATTGTGCGCGTTTGTACATATGATAGAAAACAAATATTATATAAAAAAACAAAGATTAATGATATAAAACAAGAAAATGCGCCAGATATTTGAATGCTCCTATCACACCTTGCCACACATGCTTCTTCTTCGTTCTTCCTACAACATATAAAACAAGTAGCGGGGGTTTTAAACCCCCACAGACTGGAACTGTGAAAAATAGCGAACACGCGCACAGATTAAATAAATTGAGCGCGAGGGTTTCAATCGATTCGTCTCGTTGCCACGAATTTGTCTATACTGGTTTGATAGTCCAATCTTACAGCATATGCAAAGCCCCAATTTTTGAGCTCTGAAACCCTAAAACATGTTAATGGAAAATCACGATACAGAGCCTTATAATGCAATTGAATCATATCATTAGCTTCAGAAGGTTCCTGTGAGTACAAAACAACCAATAATATGTATCAAATGCGCATGAATCGTGATATGGAATTCAAGAAAATGTGGAAAACCGTATGGCTTATGTTCTATGATTCTTTGCGCGTTTGGACTGATTCTTGATGCCAAAATACTCATGGAAGGTCCAACAATGTGTTAGAATCCTTTTTATGCTTTGAAACGTCCTGCCACTGTGAAATCAGTTTCCAAGTTTTTGTTGAAATTTTGCAATTTGGTTATCGAGCATGAGCAGCTTTTTCGTGTCTGCCTGAGTAGGGTTTCACTCAGCCTTTGTATGTGAATGATTCTAGGTCAAAACTTTGGCCCAAAAGTCCATGAATTGATGTTTCATATCTTTGATTTCCATCATATATTTTTCAATCTTTTTTCATTGAAACCTTTGCCAATCATGGATGATTTTCCTTTTTTGAATGTGAAACGACTTTGCCAACTTTCCCTAGTTTGATTTGCTGCACAAAAGATCTACAAAATCATATCTTTGAATTTTCTTATAATAAAAAACTAATTAAATGAATTAATATAAATATAAATCCAATTAGTTAATTAAAAATATGAAAATAAATTATTTTAAGCTCAATGGGTCGTGCATAGGCTTTGGGTAATGATTCAAGAAAGGATTTGAGGCCCATTAGCAAATTTGAAGTGTTTTAGGCAAAGTTGACTTTTGAAAGTTCCCAAAATTTTCCCAACTTCTCCAATGCATATCTTGCTCAATTTTGAATCTATGATCATGTTCTTGGACATTTTGGAAAGTTTTTGAAGTCCTCTAACCAATGCCTTTGGTCCCATGTCATTTTGATTTACCAATCTCAAGTTATGGTCCTTGACTTAAAGTGCCTTTTTGTTGACTTTTGAAAATGACCTATAATGTTGAAATTGATAACTTTTTGTGAGAGCATTTCTTGGACTTGGAGTATGAAGATGAGTTGTAGGAAATGTCATCCCCTTCAAAATGAGCTTTGGATGGGATTTTTCTGATAAACCATGAAGAAGTTATGCCCTGGTCAATTTGCAGTTGACTTTTCAACTGTCCAAAAATAGAAACTTTTGCATCTTGAGACTTTTTGAGCCATGCTTGTGGAATCATGATCAAGAATTGATCAAATGATGATTATGGCTTCAAAATAAGATGTTGACCAAAAATTTTGACTTTTGACTGTCAAATTGACCATTTTGCCCCTGCAGTTGACTGTGGAGCAATTAGGGTTTTTGACTGTGCAATTTGATGCTGTGAGTCTTGAAACTTGACATATGGATGCTTGACAATGTATATGGGCACATGGGACTTGATTGGACCCTTGAAATCCTCATTTCCTTTGCCAGAACCAAAACCCTAATTTTGACTGTGTTAGGAGGCAATTGGACTGTGCAACCCTTGAGAGATTTTGAAGCATGATCTTGGCAAACCTTGAAGAATATGGGAGGGAAAATTTTGGGGTACAACAGTTGCCCCTGTTCAATCTTCTTAGACCTGAGGATGTAGATTGGCTGGCGTGCCTTTCGTAATCCGAAGGTGGAAGATGATTGAACACTAGAGTGCCCAGAAATTTGCACTCACATAGTAGAATGTTAGCAGTGTGATGTCGGGAATGGGCTTACAGATGCCATTTGGAGCCGTAGTGGGAGGATGATGGATAGGAAGATGGGCTTATAGATTCCATCTGGAGATGTGACAGGTTCTTTGTCGGGAATGGGCTTATAGACACCATTTGGAGACGTAGTGGGAGGATGGGCTTATAGATGCCATCTAGGTGTCGATCGCGTAAGAGATTCCTTCGCGAGAAACTTGCGTACCTGAGAAAGAAAGATAATTACCTGGCCTATTACAGGAGTTGATCTTCAAACTCTTCATGTAGATGTGCCCTGGACGGATACAGGTATCGAGTCTACAATCAGCTACTCACAGATGCGCCCTGGCTAGATACAGGAATCGAATCTGGAAAAATAGTCGTCAACAGATACACCCTGGCAAGATACAGGAATCAGATCTTCAAACTCTTCAGACGTGCCCTGGCAGGATACATGAATCGAGTCTGGAATTAGTCATCAACAGATACACCCTAGAGAGATACAGGAATCGGATCTTCAAACTCTTCAAACGTGCCCTGGCAGGATACAGGAAT